CATGGGAAGCCGGCCCAGGATATGGGAGGGGAAGCAAGGCCAGAGACACCTCTTCTGATGGGGGCCCTTCTCCATTGCGGCCTTTATTCTGAGCCTCGTAGGGCCCTCCGTGGTGGCCGGTATTTGGGGCAAGGCATTTCAGCACCACGGATAGTTCCCACAAAGCAGGGCTTTTGCCATCAGTGCTGAAGGCTTGGAAACAGGCAGAGCCTCGGTGCGAAGACCAGAGAAAGCAAGTCTACAGTAAATTCGCGTCTGGGGTGATGGGCCTGAGCTAGGCATCTCCTGAGCCCATGTGCCCCCGCTTATCGCCCATCAGCACATTCTTTGCTTAGTGCTCCGCTCAGGAGAGGGTACTTGGGGAAACGTGGAAGCATAGGGTTGGGCCCCTCTGGAGCAGATGTCTTGCCAGTATGCAAGAAAGGAAGAGTAAGAGGGACCATCAGGCAGGGAAAAGAAAATGTAAAGAGGTCAGCTTTGTTTTGTTTTGGGTTTTTTTGCATGTCACACACAGGCTTCTGTTTGCTTGAATGCTGAGCTTTCCAACCGCCTCCAGCCAAGTGGGGTATTTCATTCTTTTAATTCAAAATAGAAACATAATCTCTTCCAGCCGTTTTGTGGCCTAGGTTTTTGCATTTATTTATTTTATTTATTTTTGCAATAAAAATTAAATCTTTTCTATTTGCAGATAATTGTCACGTACCTCTCCTGACCTTGCAACCTAGGCAAAGCGCTTTATTTTAAAGGCAAGATAATGATAGATTCAACATGTGGTCTGCCTGGTGATGTTGAAATCTAGCAGCAGAAAGAAGGGCTTTTGGTGTTTATAAGGTTGCTGTGAATTAAGCTTAATGCTTTTCCAATTACATTTCAAAATATCCAACATATTTACAGGGAATTTCACTTCCGGGAGTTTTGTAGTCCAACATATCTAGAGGTCCCCAAACAACAATGCCCGGCTTTAAGCAAACAACCCTCAGCTCAACAAGGTGAGGTATGCAGTGCCTTAGGTAGCCAGGGGTCCTAACCTATTTGAAGGTGGCCATTGACCATGCTGGCAGGGGATGATGGGAGTTGGATCCCTGCACATCTGGAGAGCAGGCCAGCTGAAGGTCTACATCAGGGGTCAAGCTCTGAGCACTCGATCCACCCCATTTATTTTTTTATTTTTTTATTAAAACATTTTTATGCCGCCCCATTCGCCGAAGCCTCGGGGCGGCTTACAACAATACATTAAAACCACATAAATTAAAATAAAATAAATTAGAAAGCAAAATGGGGATTTTGAGCACTGTGGAACATGAATAGCACACTTTTTTCTTGTCTTTCCCACACCTGGACAGGGATTCAAAATGTATGGGATTTACATTTTGGAATCTACACAGTAAGGGACGTTTACCCACTTCGGTTGTTTCAGCAATTTTGTCCTTTTCTTTGGACAGAGAAGAGCCCTGTGAAAAGCGGTTGTTCATTTGTGAAAATGCAGCCTCATAGCAGCTTTTTAATATGAAGTGTGGCGGAGGGGGGTTATTCTTGAAGGGCGAGCAAGAAATTAAAGACTTGAAGCATTTCGCCATCTCTCTGTCCCTCCCTTCCAAACGGGAGTTGAGGAGTGTGGGGAGAAGCAGCAACTGCTCTCCTGCCCTGCTTGGGAGCTTCTTCCGGGCGCTGGGCTGGCCGCCTTGTGAGCAGAATGCTGGCCTTTGGGGGACCCTGGCTGCCGAGAAGGGGGACCTGCCAAAGGAGGCGTGGACTGCATGTGGACCCTGAGTTATCCAGACCGGCTGAAGGCCGCTTTCTAACTTTAAAAACAGACAACATGTTTTTTAAAGCTCTTTCAGTTTTTCTGGGACCTGTCCTCCAAAAATCCCCTTTTTGTAAGAAAGGACACAGAAGTTGGCATCCTGCATGCTGGGACTGGCGGAGCCTTTGCGCCTGGGGAAAGCAAATGCCAGGGGGTTTTAAGATGCTCTTCCGTTCCCTTTTTCCTTGGCCCTGCCCTGACACACACACACAACCACTGCTGCTGTGACAGCTCCTTGCACGGTGACTTTTATTAAACTCTCGTTCTGTGATTGAGTAGTGATGAGTCACTCATCTTGGGATGCATTCTCAATTTAGGGATACAAAATGTGGGCTAGGCAGAAGAAAGGGAGCTGCAGAGGTTGGCTGGTGCTTTGTTCTGCTTTCTGTTTGAGCATGTTTTTTTCGAAGATATTTCGGCTTCCTACGGAGGAGGAGTTGTGCAGAAACTCTCCCCCACTTGGCGGGCTCTAGGTATGTCGGATTTCAGTGCCTATCATTCCTGGTGCTCAGGCTAATAGTTTGGGGGAAGCTGACAGACGGGGGCTCCGGCAGAATTAAGCTAAGCTACAAAGATGGCTCTCTGCCCCAAGGTGCTTCCAGTTGAAATGGAAGCCATTGAGGGCCACAAGGGGTGGGTGATGAAAGTGTGTCCTGATTGGGCTGGAAGAAGCACCTGTTTGATGGGAACAGCCAATGAAATTTCGCTGTTGGGCAACCCCCCCTCCACACACACACACACACAAACACACCTTGAAAGCTCCCTCAAGGGAGATGCCTTCACAAGCACCGGCTGGGTCTGTCTGTTACCCAGAACATCTTCTGGAAGCCAGAACCCGACCAGAGCAGAAGACAAATAGGTTCCCCCACTGCTTTGCTGTTCCAGCATATATCCAGGGCATTTATCAAGTGCTGATGTTAAACGGCACTGAGATTGACCCGGGAACAAGGGCTTGTCCCCCTTTCTGGGCCAACGCCACATGGAGGAGCAACACTAAACGAATCTCTGGGAACGTTACGTTAAGTCCCAGTCCTGGGGATGTTTATGGGATCTTAGACTACAGCCTTTCATCAATATTTAACCAGATTTTCTCCTCTTCTACTAGCAATATTTCTTTTCAAGAGCTCTGCGTATTTCTGACGCATTTGCAAGCTGCCCCAGTCGCAGTTTTTGAGGTCAAGCTTATGTAGCATTTGAATAAACTCATAACCAGCTTTGGAATCCAGGGGACTTCTGTAGAGTGAGGAAAATATATTTTATATATATATATATAATATATTAGGGTGTGTGTATTAGGATGTAACTGTATGCGTGTTTAGATGGAAACAAGCCCTTCGACTCTCAGCATTCCCCAGGCAGGCTTGCATTTTTAACTGTAAGATTCTTAGGACTATGTACCCTCCCCAGGTTGCTTATTTTTTTAACCCTTTATCTACCACTGAACTCAATAGGACTCACTTCCAAGAAAACCTTTAAAGGACTGTACAATACAGTCTTCAAAGTTAGGGCCAGCCAGAATTAATGAAGGGAAACCTTAATTGCTAGGGTTGAGTATTCTGCTTTTATGTTTGGGGCCATGTGGGTCTGTCTGCTGTCTTAAGGGAGCGGGAATCAAAAGCCACGACAACCCCATTAAAGATAATTAACCATCCATTACACGGATCTCTTGATTGTGTGTGTGTTAGATTCCATGTAATATCCCATGAGGCTGAGATAAGGTTCTAATCCTTAACTCCGCAGAGATTACTTCTGGCCAGATCTGTATAGGATTTCGCAGGAGGTCATGTCACGCTGCAAGATGACTTCCATTTGATTAAGCTGGATGACTTTCTCCTGCTTCAATATGCACAGGATTGGACACTAAACTACCAAACATTCAGGGTAGAAAATCCCTCTCTTTATGCTAATAGTGTGACCCCAGACAACTACAGAAGTCCCGAATTCATAGGTTGAGCCCTTGTGTGAAACATGACACTTATCACCAGGGAGGTAAGATACCTTTTTGTGCTTTGGAAAGGATGCTACCTGCCCAGGGCTGGAACCCTATGGCCATTCACTTAGAAACATAGAAACTGAGCGAGTCAGAAGGGGTCTCCTGGGCCATCTAGTCTGACCCCCGGCTCCAGCCAGCTCCACTCATGATTTGCCTACCATGTGCATGTCCAGCCTCTCCTTGAACAGACTTGAGAATAGTCTCGGTTAAACTGGGGGTAGATCAGTCAATCAGAGACAGTTTTGCATGGATTCTGTCACGATTATTACTGCTTTACATTTATATCCCAACTTCTCTCCTCTTGCGAGGAACCCAAAGCAGCTTACACAGTTGCCCTCTACTCCATCTTGTCTTTACAACAACCCTGGGAGGTAGGCTGAGAATGACTGGCCCACCGTCTCCAAGAGACCTTCATAACCAGGTGGGTTCTAGAACCCAGAGCTCCTGGGTCCGACCCTACGCCTTTTCAGCTAATTTCCACATCAGGGTCTACAATCTGTGAATGCCTGAAAATGTGATTTGACTCTTGTCCACAATACTTTCTTTAACTTGCACGGACCTTGAGCAATAAGAATCTTTCCACAAAAATGTTGGAGAAATGCACGGTCTGAAGGGATAACTTTGTTTTTACCAATGTGTCATGCTGCAAAGAGCTAATTAGACTTGTTGCTTAAAAATGTGGATCAAACAAAATTATCCATGCATCCCTCAACAAGTGTCAGCAAAATCTTCCGATTTATCTTCCGATTTACATCCTGCCTTTTTCCTACAAAGGGCTCAAGGCAGCTTACATCATTCTCCCCCTCCATCTTATCCCCACAACAACAACAACCCTGTGAGGTAGGTTGGGCTGAGAGACTGTGACTGGCCCAAAGTCACCCAGTTGGCTCCATGGCCCAGCGGGGACTCGAACCCGGATCGTCCGAGTCCCAGTCCCAAGCTCTTAACCACTACGCCACACTGGCTCTCACTTGGATCCAAGTAGACAGGTTGATTGGCAGCTGACCACCTTCAAAGCCAGCCAATTTTCTGCGTACTCTCCAAATTGGCAAATTCTGACCAAACCTGACACTTACTATTCATTCCTAAATCTCTGGCAAACTCCTAATCTTTCTAATGGAAAGCAGTTCTTTTAAACTCTTTTAAAATTAAATGCTTCTACTTGTTTTTCTTTCTAGCACCCTCTTTCTGCTTTTTACACAGGGCTATGAATGACATTGGGGATTATATCGGGTCAAACATAGAAATATCTTGGTTACCCAATTTGGATGACCTGATGCAAGGTTACGCCCGCAATTTCAGACCAGGCATCGGAGGTAAGACCTCGTGTGTTTGGCAAACTGTGAATAAGGGTAGGGAATAATGGATTATATGTATTTTTACTGTCTTTTAGGGAAATTACACAGCTGATCATTGTGTGCCATTCTGGAATCAGACCTTTTGCAATTATGGTCATGAATGTCGCCATCTCTGACTAAGACGGTCTGTTAGATAAGCTCCCACTAGGTCCCTTTCTCCTTTGAGGGTTAAAAGATCACAGAGCAGCTGAGCCAGGATGGTGCAGTGGTTAAGAGCACTGGGATTTAGGAGATCCGGGTTCGAGTCCCCACTCAGCCGTGGAGCCCCCTTTGGGCCAGTTCAGACCCTCAGCAAAGCCTTGTGGCTTTAAGAATAAAGAATGAAATCAACTGAAGAATAAAATGGACCTTTCTTTTCTCCCAGTCATTTTAGAGTCCTAATTCTAGGTAAAAGGGGCTATTCCAGTGCCTTTGTTGTTGATTATGTGCTGCACTCTTTTAAATGACGTTTTAATATGATGCACGCTATATTGTACATCTGAACTGCACCCAGAGAGCTTCAGCTCTTGGGTGGCATAAAAAATTAAGTAAAAGAATAAAATGCTGTACTTTATTTACCAGTATTGCATTTTATATTTTTCAGCTGTGTTTCAAAACAGCATTTTAGTTCGCAGTCTGCCCAGAGAGCATCCCTTCAAACCCGCAGAATGCTTTGGGTGGGGCAGAATAGAAATTATATAGAGATGGACTTGAATAATGCAAGGGGCCGCGTTCACAGCTCCCTGTGTCTTTCCCCAAACAGGTCCTCCAGTTAATGTCGCACTGGCCATTGAGGTAGCCAGTATTGACCACATCTCGGAAGTCAACATGGTAAGCCACTGCTTAAGACTGCAGGAAAAAGGAAACTCTCCAGGTTTGGATATTCCGCTGGGTTCCTTTTGTGCCTTAAACCATGGGGAGATGTTGTTAGCACGAAGAGCACCCCAATGTAATACTTCGGTGTTTCCAAGGATCCAAGCTGCTCCCTGAATTCCTAGACGTATAAGATAATTGAGCGAGCTATAATGCTGAACCATTGCAACCCCTCTGTAGTGCCCAGGTAGGCAAACTGGGATGCGCGAACCCCCAAGGCGCACCATGCGTGATTCTGCCAGCTGTTGCACACATTTTGCAGCTGCTCAACAGCTCCGCCTCCACCCCCAGACTATGCCTAACACAAAAAAGCAAAATTCGAGGCTTAGCATCAGCTGAAGACCCGCTGCTGCGAAGGAAGCAAAGGCAAAGAGGCATCAGCAGTTGTGGAGGTGGATGAAGGCATCTTGGCATGAGAAGAGGGAGGTTAACATGGTTCCTTTCAGCTTGTTCTGCCACAGTTTCCTGTGGCATCTGTCCTTGTGTAAGTGCAGTCTACAAGCCAGCATCAAGCCATGGTTTAGGAACCTGGTTGGCAGAGAGTGTTTGTATCACATTTTCCCGGTCTGCGGTGTCCTGGGGCAATGAGGGAAGGAGCCTGGATTTTGGGAGGAGGAGCACTTGGGCTTGTCTCTTGCTCCCTGTCCAACAAACCGTGGCTTGCTGGGCCAGAAATGTGATCCCTGGAGCGGGAGGAATCCTCTGTCCCCATTTTAAAGTACAGCGACCAACCAACCCCAGAGTATCAGCATCCTTGTACGGCCCTGCCGGGCCCCACCACCCCATTTTCCCCCTTCAGCCCAGCTGCCATGTTCATTTCCCAGAATGCCCTGAGACAGCCTTGCACCTTGGTGAGCAGCCTGCTTTTTTGGAGGGTCCGGGGCTCCTCAAATCGGAAGCCAGACTTATTCTAGTACCATCCCCTTCCCCGCATCTGGGTGAGCGGATCTGCATATTATTCCAGTGGTTTGTTAATTATGCAAATCAGTCACAACAATTTTCTATCCGTTGCTTTGTGTCTGCTCTTGGCAACTACCTCAAATGATTGGGGAAAGATCAGAAGAACCGTCTTTTCCCTGATCATTCCCTTACGCTTTATTCTCCGACGACGGCGAGCGTGTATCTTTCTGCTTGTAGAGCTCATGCCTGCTTTGGAGTACGTGAAACTTCCTCACAGCTAAAAATTATTTAGGTTGCGGAAATCATTTTGCATCCTGCATGCAAACAAACACCTGGGAGTCCATCTGAGCAATTTTGGTGGGGGTTTCCAGACTCCTTAGCAACCCGCTTGCAGATACAGGCTCACGTCTTACCCCTGCACTGAAGTTACAAGGTGGTTTAGCAAGCAGCTCACTTCGGCCACTGGGCCACGCCATCTCCCCAAGCTCAGCCATTGAGTGCTGGTGGCGCAGTGGTTTAAACCGCTGTGCTGCCGGGCTGGTAGATCGAAAGGTCGCCGGTTCGAGTCTGCACAACGGGGTGAGTTCCCGCTGCTCCGTCCCAGCTCCTGCCTACCTTGCAGTTCGAAAGCATGCAAATGCAGGTAGATAAAAAGGTGCCACTTCAGTGGGCAGGTAACAGCATTCTGTGCACCTCGGTGTTTAGTCATGCCGGCCACATGACCACGGAGACTGTCTACAGACAAACGCTGGCTCCCTCGGACAGGAAACAGAGATGGGCACCGCCCCTAGAGTCAGGCGTGACTGGACATAACGTCAAGGGGAAACCTTTACCTTTACCTTTTTTACTTTGGCCACTGGCCACGTCATCTCCCCAAACTCAACCGTTGAGTGCTGGTAGGATTTAATTACAACAAGACCTCCCAAAATAGGCCTCCCTTCATTCATTCATTCATTTGTTTGTTTATATGCCATCTATTTCCATGGATTGGGAGTTGCCTGTAAAACTTGCTGTGTGACTTTGGGCCAGTCACAGACTCTCAGCCTAACCTACCTCACAGGGTTGTTGTGGGAGGCCGTGTGCCTTGGGGTTTGACTGTTGAAGTGGAGCTGGGGAGATCCGGGTTCTGGTCCCCACTTGGGCATGAAGTTCCTCTTGGACAGGTGGAAATGCATTTGCTACCAGCGATGCTTGGTCTGGACGTCCACGTGGAGGGCATGTCGTGAGCGGAGCCGGCTGGAGCCGGGGGTCAGACTAGATGGCCCAGGAGGCCCCTTCTGACTCGCTCTGTGTTTCCATGTTAAAGGAACTCACACTCAATATATTTGTACTTCCTTCGGCTTTTAAGGAAATGCCTGATGTTGATATAAATAACAGCAAGGGACTGAAGCTTTCCAAACTGCTTATTTTCTAGTCAGTCTAGCTGGACCTGTTCTTTGCTCGCTCCCAAGCACTGCCCCACGATCTAAGTTCTGAAATGGAGCTACAGAGGCCAACGAAAGCAACGTGAAGGATGCTGCCAAGGCTGGCCCCACGGAAACTCTCCCCACAGCCGCCTTGGGGTGCATCAGTGCCGTCTGGTTCTCGTTCCCAGGAATACACCATGACCGTTTTCCTGCACCAGAGCTGGCGAGATGACCGGTTGTCGTACAACCACACCAACGAGACCCTGGGCTTGGACAGCCGCTTCGTGGACAAGCTCTGGCTTCCAGACACCTTCATCGTCAACGCCAAGTCGGCTTGGTTTCATGACGTCACTGTGGAGAACAAGCTCATCCGCCTGCAGCCCGATGGGGTGATTTTGTATAGCATCAGGTAACATACCGCCCCGAGGCTTCAGCGAATGGGGCGGCATAAAAATGTTTTAATAAAATAAAAAATAATAAATACGCAAGCTGCGGGTGAGGGGAGAATTCTCTGCCACCTGAGCCTGCCAGCCCCAGGCAACCGTCTCTCGGTAGATTTCCTAGTCTTGCTGCAGCATAGAATTGTAACCCATCTCGAGCTTGCCTGTGAAAGCAATAGATGGTATAGAAAAAAATTTAAATGATGTACAAGGTTAAATGATATACAGGTTGCTGACGGGGACGGGGCGTTATGCTCACATGACTCCAGTCCTCCGACAGCTTCACTGGCTTCCCATTGAAGTCCGGGCCCAGTTCAAGGTGTTGGTTATGACCTATAAAGCCCTAAATGGCTTGGGACCTGGTTACCTGAAGGAGCGCTTACGTCCATATATGCCCAACCGCCCCTTGAGATCTGTGGGAGACGCCCTTCTCCGGGAACCCTCCGTGAAAGAAATTAGGAGGGTAGATACTCAGAGAGGTCTGCCTGGAGCCGTCATTATTTGTTTTTCAGCGCCAGGTGAAGACCTTTTTATTTAAACGTCATTTTAATTGTTAACAATATTTACTTATTTATCTGGCCAGGGCAACTTCTTTTCTTTTCTTTTATAACTTTTCTTTTATAACTTCTTTTATATCATTTATATTTTTTTATTTTATATTATTAATTTTAATTTTATATTGTCATTTTTGTATTGTATTGTATTTTATTGTGTTGTAAGCCGCCCCGAGGCTTCGGCAAGGGGCGGCATAGAAATGTTCTAACAACAACAACAACAACAAGCAGGCCAGGAAGGACGGACGGGTTGACTGGGCCCTTTTGGAGTCTTCCCGGTGATTTGGAGCAGCTTGGCAATGCCCAGGGCTCATTTTAATGCCGAACATGTTCAAAGGCAAGGGGAAAGGTCTTATAGTTAGAATTATTTTATTTATTTTCATTTAGTAAAAGCTCTTCTATCCTACCTCCTACAGAATGTCTCGGGGCGGCTTACAATAAATAAGCAGAGTAAAACAAGCAAAATAAAATTATGCCGACAGTCCACTTAGGGAAGTTTCTTTGCGAATGGCTGCAGAGATGACTTGAATTGCACAGATAGTACTCCTGACGTGATGCTTCGTACTGCAAGAGAGGCCTCATGAAAAGAACTCCAAGCCTGCAAGAAAACTGGAACAGCCCTCGGACACCTTGCGGCCTTCGCTTCCTTCTCAGCTTTGGTGCTTTTCACTGGGAAAAGAGAATATTTAATTGGTTGTTGTCAACAGGGTCTTTGTCCAGTTTTTGCTGACCGGTTTTGCAGAGCTTCTGCAGTCAGCGCAGTGCAGAATAACTCTCGTGTGGAGGTGTACGTGAGGCAGGAAATGAGATGCAGGCCACCGAAGCAAGGGCAACCACCGCAGCCTCTTGCTGCATCGCAACCAAGCAACTGTTCAGCGACCGCCCCATCTTGAGAGAGTCCAGTTCTTAAAGATTTATGACAGTGCCATGTCTGGTCAAATGTGACGGCTTTCTTCTTCTTTTCCTGTCATCTTTGGGCAGAATCACCTCGACAGTCGCCTGCGACATGGACTTAACCAAGTACCCCATGGATGAGCAAGAGTGCATGCTGGACCTAGAGAGCTGTGAGTTGAACCCCAACATGCACAAGCGGGGTGTCTACAAAGGGGGGATTTGGGGGGGAATTGCCTTCACGAACGGCTCCCACGCTTGGTCGGTTTGTTTTTAAGTACAGTCCTGGCGGGGAAGCCAGACCAAGAAAAAGAGCTAGCGTCTCAGGTCTTCAAATAGTTGACAAGCTGCCCAAGTTGTAGGATTAATACTGAGCTTTGCAAGTGCACGCACACCCCGCCCCGGTAATCCCTTTGCAGCCTGTATTCCTGCTGCGTTGGCGCTGTCTCCCAGAAAAAGGGAGCCCCCGAACTTCATCCAGTTCCCTCTTGTTTGCTTTTCCCTTGGACCTCTCGGATGGCTGATCTTTATTGTAGCAATATGTTTTGCTACACTTGCTTAATCCAGTTAAAGTGTTTATATGCCATCCAATACCAGAGTACTGGATGGCATATAAACAACAAAAACCAACAACATACTAACACACACACACTGCATCCAACCATTAATGATAAAATCAAAGATGAAACCAATTAAATGTTAAAATGTTGGGAAAATAACCATTTTCACTCAACGCCAAAAAGAATAAAGTGACCGTGCCTGGTGAACCTCCCTGGGCGGCATGTTCCAAAGTCGGGGCACCACCAACTGTCAATTTATGGTTTTATTTGTTAATTCATTGTTTCACTTTGCATATTTGTAATATCCGATGGCTAAATACAATAAGGGACTGCAGGTGGCGCAGTGGTTGAAACCACTGTGCTGCTGGGCTGGTAGATCGAAAGGTCGCCGGTTCGAGTCTGCACAACGGAGTCAGTTCCCGCTGCTCCGTCCCAGCTCCTGCCCACCTTGCAGTTCGAAAGCATGCAAATGCAAGCAGTTAAAAAGGTGCCACTTCGGTGGGCAGGTAACAGCATTCCGTGCACTTCGGTGTTCAGTCACGCCGGCCACACGACCACGGAGACCGTCTGCGGACAAACGCTGGCTCCCTCGGCCAGGAAATGGGGATGAGCACCGCCCCCTAGAGTCAGGCATGACTGGACTTCACGTCAAGGGGAAACCTTTGCCTTTACCTTTACCTTTTAAATACAATAAGCTTACTACCTACCTACAAATATTGGTTGAGAAAATGAGCTCCAGTCCATGTTTAGGGTTGTGCACTTTTGGAGGGCCCACAATCTCAATATGTTCCATGCCCCCCTATCTCTCCTAGCTATTCTTCAACGTATATGTTTGTTTATATCTTTCCAGAAAGACTGTGTATGTCACAACATCTCAGCGTCTGTGGGGAAGATGCTGTCTGAGCACAATGACTGTACAGTCTTGGGTTGTTTTGCCTCTTCTCTCGCTCTCATTTCATTTTTAGCACTGGCTATTTTCTAGGCAATTAAGTACCATACATTTCCACCCTAGCAAATTTAGCAATCTGCAGTTTTTACTTATGCAATCGGCAATTGCTGAAGCAACCCACGAAGAGACGGCAATTTCCCTCCACTGGCAATTGTGTGCCGGGCTCCATTTTTAATTTAATTTTGAGGGTTTGGGATTCTAGAGCAGTAAACATAAGAAGTGAAGGCACTTTCAGCAAATGCATTAAACTTGGGCTCTGTTTGGTTTGGTTTTTAAAGCAGGAAAATTAACATTCCCTGCACTAGTTTTTAATGTAGAAAATGGACAGTGGGTGAGTGTATTTCCACCATCTTGCAAGAGTTGTGGGAAAATGCCAGAATTGTTTCCATTTCTATCTTGTGTTGCCTTTAAAGCGTTAAAGGCAATGTTCGCCTACTCTTCCTTTCCCCCCTCACAACAACCCTGCAAGGTACTCTGGGTGGAATGTTGCCAGTGAGTCCCAGGTCTCCCGATAAACTGCATCGCTTTCTTTGGACACTGGATCTGGAATTTATGTTTGAAATAATCCTACTTTTGTTGGGTGACTTTAAACCACGTTTCAAGATGATAAGGTTGCAAAGGCTCTGTATAATCTCAAAACCCAGGGGAATTGCAAGTTTCAGCTTTCAATTCTGGTTGTCCTTCCTGATGATAAAAGCAGAATTAATTCTGCAATGCTTTTCTTCTTCTCCCAGAACACTTAAACCTGGGGACGTCCCGTGGAGCTGATGAGCGGGGTCTGTGGTCAGATAAAAGGAAATATCTCTTCACACAGCATATGAACTCTGGGATTTGCTGCCACGGGATGTGGCGATGGCCACCAATCCGGGTGGCTTTGAAAAGGGATCAGACAGATCCATGAGGGAGGCGGCTATCAGAGGCCACATGCTGAGGAGCGTGGGCAGAAGGGATCCCAAGGGATCCTGTGGGCAGCTGGTTTGGCCCCAGTGTCTAGTGAGTGCTGGACTGGATTGGAACTTTGGTCTGGCCCAGCATGGCTTTTCTTATGTTTTAGAGGAACGGTTTGCAGGAAGAAGTGCCCCGGGTTCAGCCCTCAGGATCTCCTGGCAGGGCAGGAAAAATTCCCGCCCAAACCCCAGGGAGTAGCTGCCAGCCAGTGTCCAGAGGCTCGGCGCTACATGCAGCAATGACATCATGTAGTCTGAGGCAGCTTCCTGGGCCAGGAAGGGCGATGATGCTCTGGGGCCCATAAGGTGCTTTGTTGACCCTGGAAATGACACCTGGACCATCCAGATAGCGCCGACTGCTCAGGGACCAGGGAGGGAAACTTCATCCTGAGCTTGTCTGTCTCTCTCTCTCTCCACACATCCCCATATTTATTCAGTCTCTTTTGACAGATGGTTACTCCTCGGAAGATATCGTGTACCGCTGGTCCGAAAACCAGGATCAGATCCACGGCCTGGATAAGCTGCAGCTGGCTCAGTTCACGATCACCAATTATCGATTCGCTGCAGAAGTGATGAACTTCAAATCGGGTAAGCAAATCTGCCAGTCTGGCAAACTCTCTAGGGAAAACAAGGACGGAGTCTTCTTATTTATGGCTGGCAGCTAATGAGATGAAAGCAAAGAAAGCTGTTAGTCCCGGTTGTGTTCCCCCAAAGTTTGGCAAAGCGTAGGGTTGTCTCAGTGTGGAGAACAGTATCTGCCCAATCAAACTGGGGAGGAGCAGAGCTAAGCCGGGACGCTTCTGTTCGCACGAGGTCCAACTCACTGTGTCTGCTAGATGTTCTCTCCTTAAAGGAGGCCTAAGTAACTCCAAATGAAATTGAAGATTAAATGGAATGAGCATTTATTTATTTATTTAGAAAATTTCTATGCCGCCCCATTCGCCAAAGCCTCGGGGCGGCTCACAAATAAACCAATTAAATCAATTAAAATATTTATTATTTATTTAGTTATTTATATCCTGCCTTTTTCCTACAAAGGGCTCAAGGCAGCTTACATCATCTCTCCTCCTCCATCTTATCCCCACAACAACAACCCTGTGAGGTAGGTTGGGCTGAGAGTCTGTGACTGGCCCAAAGTCACCCAGTGGGCTCCATGGCTGAGCGGGGACTCGAACCCAGGTTGCCTGAGTCCCAGTCCCTTGCTCTTCACCACAACACCACACTGGCTCTACTATACATTAACAATATAAAGCAAGTTAACAATATAAAATAAGTCACCCTGGCCAAAGAATAAAATAAATAAATAAATAAATAAATAAATAAATAAATACTACCAACAGTTAAAATTTAGCTTGTGATTCTATGCATGTTCAGACACAAGCCCCACATGTAGCCCAAACCCCACAGAATTCATCGAGGCTTGCTTCTGCATATGCACACATAAGATCCGGCTGTCTTTGGCTATGTCCGATACCTCCGACAAATTTTCTCCAAAGCCCAGTGTGTGCTACAACCCGGGAGGCAGACGGTCATAAATTCCCATTCAGGCTTTCAGCCTTCTGGGCATCCGCAGACCAATCGCATGCTCTCAGCCCAAACCACCTTACAAGGTTGTTGTGGAGATGAAACTTCTGGGAGAACGGGACCGTGGCGTCCGCCTTGCGGGCAGGACCTTTCCGTGTCACCCTGCCCCCGTCTCATTCTTTCAGCTGGCCAGTTTCCCCGCCTGAGTCTCCACTTCCACCTACGGAGGAACAGAGGTGTTTATATCATCCAGTCCTACGTGCCTTCCATCCTCCTGGTCGCCATGTCGTGGGTTTCCTTCTGGATCAGCCAGTCGGCGGTGCCCGCCCGCGTCTCATTAGGTAAAGTGGAGTCTTTCTCCCAAGATGCAAAGCCATCACGATGTTCACGGTCCCAGAATGAGATGTTGTTGTTAGCCGCGTATTAGTCACGCCCCAGATAACACTGGGAACGGCCATAGACCTTGTTAGACGTTGTTTCCACCTATGAGTCCTGTTCTTTGCTGTGCGCAGTAAAGAGGAGACTTCAGCTAGCCGGTTGCCAAGCACAGTTCCCCCCAGAACACAGGAGGCTTTCTGTAAAAATCTGAGGCGCAACCGAGCTCAAAGCCCCAGGAGGTTAGTCAAGGAGAAACAGTCTGGAAAATGAGTTAGGCTGGACCTGAGGATCAGTAGCCCAGAGGTCCAAATACACAGCAAGGTCAGGGGGAAGAGAGACTCTGGCAGAGTCTGGGGCTGAAAAGAAGGCATCATTCCCAGCAGCACTGAAGTTCCAAGTGATGGGTGATGTAGTTCGAATGAGCACAGCACCACCCATGGTCCAGCTGCATCAGGTGTCTTCCCTGTGAGGGAAGCCCAGCGTCTTCGGTGAGGAAGTATCCCTTTCCTTGGCTGCCATGGGTCTTAAGATGCAGGCATTCTCTGGGGCTAGGCAGCAGACCCTTCCACTTCAGGAGCCGAGCTTCGTCCCTCTCCAGGAAGCCGATCTGAAGGCATCATCCTTGGTGAAGGTCCTGGACCCCCTTGGATAGTCCCAACATCTGGCCTTGGACCATGACCCCAGCCCGGTGCCATCTGTCCTACAACCTGGCCCCTCTCAGATGTGTTGGACCGCTACTACCAACACCCAGAGAAGTCCAGCACATCTGGAGGACGTGACTGGTGGTCGGGGAAGGGGGTGTGTTCATCTGGGGAACCTCGTAGGGCCAGATCTGCCTGAGACTCAGCACCCCCCGCTAGAAACCATTGGCAATAAAATGCAGAACAGCATTTTGAACACAGTTCACCTCCACCCATGATGTACGTGCTCTGTGCTCCTCTCAGGTATAACCACAGTCCTCACCATGACCACCCTGATGGTTAGTGCTCGCTCTTCACTCCCAAGGGCTTCAGCCATCAAGGCGCTGGATGTGTATTTCTGGATCTGTTACGTGTTCGTCTTCGCTGCGCTGGTGGAGTACGCCTTTGCTCACTTCAACGCGGACTACATGAAAAAGCAAAAGGACAAGCTGAAGACCAGCAGGCCGGCAGGAGAGGTCAGTGAACACCCCCGGTGCCTCCTGGCTCTTTCTTCTCAAACGTTCTTGGGTGCATGTGTGAAAGGACTTTCTTCCCTTAGGGGCATTTGCCTGTCTTTCTGCATCAAAGCTTTTGGAAATGCTAGTGATCCTTCCTCTACTTCAGGCAGCACCGGCTGCAGGTTTGGATTGCTCTCAGGCATGACAATCTGAGTGGGCTCTCTTTGCCTCTGTGGGCATGTCGTGAGCGGAGCCGGCTGGTGCCGGAGGTCAGACTAGATGGCCCGGGAGACCCCATCTGACTCGCTCTGTTTCTATGTTTGCCCCCTTGCCGTCATGGTCAGCAGCTGCTCTGGCTCCTTGTTCTCATCGCATCTCATTAAATGCCTAGGGGAAGAAAGCATTCTGAACTTGGCCCCAAATGGCCTCAATGGGGAGAAATTTCCATAATCATGGGCCACCACTAAAGAGATCCTTGGAGGCGCCCCTCAGAGGAAGGCGTCAGAAGCTGAGTGTAGGGCCCAGGGAGATGTTGCTGCACATCAACAAAGCATTCTGACTTCTAATTACATCACAATTGCTTTAAAAAGGTTTCAGTTCTATGGTTACCTGCTCTGCAGGCAAGCCTCTTTCAGCCTTAGTATTCCTCAGCTGTAGCATGGAGCTGGACTGACTTTATTAAATCCTGCAAGTCGGGATTGAATCCTCAGCCTCCTGAGCTGGTTTGCTCCTAGTGGCAGTTCCCGGGTCATTCAAATGCACGATTCACAAAATCTGCAAATGCAGAGAAGTTCTGTTGCTGTCCGTCACTCCTCTCCCCTTCCCTCTTTTGATATTACAAAACCCTCTTTCTGGCGGGTCTCTCTCCTCTCTCTCTCTCTCCCTTCAGGTCAACGTGAAGAATGCCATTGTCATGTTTTCCCTCTCGGTAGCCGGCGTCAGCCAGGAGCTGGCCGTCTCAAATAGGCCTCGCAGGGCCCCCAAAAACCTGCCCGGGGCACTGGGGTCAGGGGAGGTAGAAATGGGACAGAACAAGCAGCAGCAGCAGGGGGCCAAGCCTGAGAAGCCCACTGGCCTGAAGTCTCTCTTCAAGCCCATCGATGCGGACACCATCGATATCTATGCCAGGGCGGTCTTCCCAGCAGCCTTTGCGGCAGTCAACGTCATTTACTGGGTGGCTTATACAATGTGAGGGTTCCGAGCGGAAGCCACTCTCTTGGCTCTGGGCTGACGTGGGACCCGGCGCGGAAGGAGCTCGGCCAGACCCACGTCCGTATCGCTGCACTTCCAACGCCAGGAGGACAACTTGTTCAAGCAAGAGACGGTTCTTCCTTCTGTCATGGACGGATGGCAGGTCTCGAGAAGGGAGGAGGCAACGAGCTGAATGGCCACTGCCTGCTTTTGCTGAGTCGTTTTGTTCTCCTCTTTAGCTTAAAGAGGCAACAAACCAAAGGCCGCCCCTTTCCCAGTCTGGCGTGAACCTCTCGCAAGAGCCCTCCTTCAAAAAACCTGCCGCACAAGAAGCTGTCTGGAGGTTTCACCGGGGAGGGGTCAGTTTCCCATCTCTTGGAGACTAGCCTTGAACGGGAATCTGCTCGCCAATTCTGCAAACACGTTTGCAACCCCAAACTTGCCTACGAACAGGCACATGAACACGATTGTTGAGGGAATCTCCTGTTTCCTGAACTTTTAATGAAGTTTGAAAATGTTCTTTCCCCCCAAAGCTGCAGTTTCACTCTTTAGTCTGTGGTGGAAATGCACATCCTTGATCAGGAAGAAATGGGATGTTTTGCAATGCACAGTTTCGCAAATGCACACTTTTACCGATGGAAAACCTTGTATTTTTCTCAGCCAGGAAATGAAAAGCTTGATTATGTTTGGGAACCTCCGCAGAGCTTTGAGTAGGAATTTTGCGATCCCACTGAGCTTAAACATTGCAAGTTTGCTCAAAAGAAGATTGACTCCCAGAGTGATGTCGGCTAGGACCAAACTGAAAGTAGCACTTTGTGCACTGGCGATGAATCTGGAATGATTTGGTGGGCTGCCAGGCAGAATTGCTCTGGGGACCACCGGAGGGTGGTGTTGCAAAATGAGATGCACGAGACAGAATGAACCGACATGCTGGGCTTTGCATGGTCTGGATTTTACCAGATTTTAACCTGGCCGAACACCGTTCGTGGTTTCAGCTAGCAATTGTCTAGCTGGCTGGTGGACCATTTCCTCATGGTTTTGATTCTCTGTATTTCTTTCTCTCTCCTTCTGACAGCATTGCAGGGTTTTGTTGTCATTTTTTTCTTTATGGCAGAGTTTTTGTCCTCTCTCCACTAATTTGTTATCGGTACATGTGGAGGCCAACAGAGTGTATATAAGTGGGAAATGCAAAAGCCTCCACCCCCGAAAGTACTTTGGGAGTGCTAAATTTCAGCAGCAAGGGTAATACTTGGTTTGGCTTGGTTTTCTTTTTAATGTGTCATTTGTCTTGGATTAACATATTTAAAGCATTTTTAAATGATCTTCTTTTAGCCACAGCATGAAATAAATCAAAGATCTCTACTGACATGTTCTTCCTTCAGCTCTGCTTCAAGGTTGGTTGAGGACGGCAAGGATTCAGTGGAGGTGGGTCATGATTCATGGCAAGAATGAAAGGCCAGCAAAACTGCAAAAGGCCTTCCTGCCCTCCCTCCCTCCCTCCCTCCCATTTCTAGGCTGCCTGTAGCTTTCCTGGGCAGCTTCCAATTTTTAAAGCATACTTTAAGTTACTTTTGTGCTCTCCTATAACTGGGTGTGGGCAACTCCTGGGCCTCCAAATTTGCCCTCCAACTCCCGTTGATCCCAGCCAACTTGGCCAGTAGCAAAGGACAGAGGGCGACCATCCAGCAATGTTTGGGATGCCACGGGTGTCTTGCTCCTGCCTTATAAGAAGAAACATAGGCGCATCTCTGGGAAAAATCAAAATTTCAATCTCTGGGGAAATTCTGGTGTCGGTGTAGTTTGCAACCCACCGAATTGCAGAGATTGCAAGAAAATAACGGATTTATCCTGAACAAATCTTGCCAGACTAATCTGACCTATTTTTTAATTTATTTTTTAAGTATGTGTTGTATTTTTTTTTGTGCTGTCGGGTAACAGAGGCGGGTAGCGGGGGTAGTTCTTCTGGACTGGGGAATGCTGTGGACATAACATGTCTTGATTTGAGCAAAGGTTTTGACGAGTTGCCTTATGATGCCCTGTTTAGCAAGCCAGCTAAAAGAGGACAAGATAGAACAGCTCTCAGGTAGGTCCACAGCAGGATGCAGAATCAGTGCTTCTCAAAAGCACCTTCTCAAAGTGGGGAGAGGTAACAGGTGTTGGGCTCATTCTCGGGCCCAGTGCTCTCCAGCACCTGCATGGGCGATTTGGTTGAGGAGGTGCAGAGAATGAAGATCATATTTGCGGATGACACAAAATTGGGTGGGACGGCTATTTCCTGGGAAGACGGAAGCAAAGTTCCACGTGATCTTGACTGGGTGCAGTGCTGGGCCGAAAACAGAATGGAAAAATTCATAAGGGCGAACGCCAAGTTCCGCACCCAGGAAAAAGACACCAAATGCATTGCTACGAGGTGGGGGATTCATGGCTCAACAATAAAGCACGTGAGAAGAGTCTCAGAATTGTGGGTCTGGAGCCCGGTGAGTCAACCTCGTGGAACGGCTGCAAAATAGGTAAATATGATTTTGAGCTGCATAAATGGAAGCATCACTCTCAAGGCATGTGAAGCGCTTGTTCCCTCCTCCTTCCCACTGGCTGGGTCTTGTCTCAAGTCTTACGTCCAGTTTCAGGCTCCACAGTTTAGGAAGGATGCAGACAAGCTGGGAAGGATTCAGAGGAGGGGCAACAAGGAGGATCTGGGGACTGGAAGCAGAGCCCTCTGAAAGAATTGGGCATGTTTAGCCTCCAGGGGAATGAGAGGAGATAGGAGAGCACTCTTGAAAGAGGTGGTCCCACAGAAGTTGGCTGGGATCTTTTCTCCATCGTTCCAGAGTGCAGGACACAGAAGAAGATATAGGAAGCCACGTTCCAGCTGGACAAAAAGTCTTCCTGTTAGAGCGGCGTGGCAGAGGAACCAAAGAATGAGGGTGGTCGTGGCCTTTCCCATCTGGTCAGCCATCTGGGAGGGATGGTTTAACTGGGAGTCCTGCACTGAGTTGGACACTGGGCTCCAGCGACGATTATGGACTGAAACGCAGAATGCGGAGGGGGGTATCCCCCCCCCACCATACTTGCATTCTGTAAAGTTCAGAAACGCACAAAGGTTTGCAAAGACACCTGGTTTGCTAAGAGGAATCATTAGATTGATTAACCTTCCCACTCGTGGTAAATTTGAGCTCTTGATGCCAACAGGATCAATGCCAAAGCAAGTTCATTGAGGAACGAGAGGAAGGTCCAGGGATGCTCAGGTGAACCCGCGGGAGAGCAGAACCTGTTGCTCAGAAGAAAAGAGAAAACACAGCCCTGTGAGGACACAGCTGGTGGCCTCCAGCCGCGTGGAAGGCCAACATGTTAGGAGGAGAAGATAAGCAAGAGCAAGTATCGGGGCAGTTTTTGAAGGGCCGCGGTGGGACCGGAGGGCTGCATGAGAGGAGCCCTTGGTCTGACCCAACAGGGCTGCTCTTACACTCTTCGGGAAAAGCTGCTGGTCCTCATGGGCCTACATTCACCAGTTGCTGGGGACCTTGGGCGGGGAGGTGCTGCTACACTCATGTTTTGCTGGGGGGCAGCTGGTTGGTTGGTCACTCTCTGAACAGAGCACTGAATGGGGTGGGCTGGATCTAGTGGGGTGCTCTTGTACGGCTGTGGGGAGAACAGTCGAGCGTTCTCCAGCCATTTACAATTGATAGGACCTCGGAGGAAGGCAAGGCTGCCTGGAGCGCTGAACAGGATCGCAAATGTTGCACGTCCCGCTTGCCACATCTCTGTCCCAGCAGGGAGCTCAAGCTGCCGCAGGGGGTGTCTGTCATCCAAGGCCCAGCCTGATCTAGCACTACCTGAGCCAGAATCTCCCAGTCCTTGCTGGAATCCTCATGCCACCCCGGCGTGAGCTTGAGCAGAGCCTGCCGCGGTCGAATTGCCTTGTGGGAGGGCTGAAACACCACCTCTTTCCCTACTCCCTTCTTTCGAGGATGCAGCTATCCACAGAGGAGCGTTCCAAAGAGCTCCGTGCATCTTTCACACATGCGCAGTGGCTGGAAAGCTTGAACATGGGGACTCTAGTCCCTTGCAGGGGGCCTCCCTTTAATACAACCCCAGATGGTAATGTGGCATTAGCAGAATCGGTGGGGCAGGGGGTAGGGAGAATTGCATCAGTGTCCCAGGGAAGCCCTGTGCACTGTTTCTTCCAAATTCATCTGAGAGGAGGGCATGGGAAGGGACAGATCCACGGGGGTGATGCGGTTTTTCGGCACCCTTTGAGCAAAGACGCAAGGCAAGGGGCAAGGGGAAGCGCCAAGGCTGGTCATGCGGCTTTCCCGAAAGCTTTTGCTGTGTGGCTCAAGCAGAAAATGACCAGGAAAACCGGCCCTGATCCAACGAGCCTTCCGTACTTGGGGGGGGGGGGGGGGCAGCTAGACTCTCCCTAGTTCTGTGGCCACCACCGCCATGAGCAGCTGCTGTCATTGGGTTAAGCAACTGAAACTTGGTTAATCTTAGAGCCAGCCACCTTCTTCCTGATGCCAGAAGAGCCAACGGGCAAGGCTGAAAGGGGCAGGGGCCGGGGAAATCACTGAGTGGCTTCCAAGACTGCCCTGAGCTGCATTAATAATAATAATAATAATAATAATTATTATTATTATTATTATTACTATTATTTCCGTTGTACTCTCAATTGTATTTCCTTACAAGGAAGAGCCAGAGCAATCCTGGCATTATTCTCCAACTAAATATTTGCGGGGAGCAAAGGTAAAACAAACAAACCCAGTTAAATGAAAAGAAAAGCTGGGAAGGCCTGCAAGGAAATACTTGTGTATATCCTCACCACCTAAAGGAGGTGTCTTGTTAAAGATCGCAGCCAGCAAAGTCCACACAATTTAGAAAGGGAAGCCAACTTAGCAGCCTTTTAACCAGACATCTCAGTTTAAACCTGACCTTCTACATGCAACCAGAATTGAATCTTTTGCAGTAGACTTGTTTGCCTTAGCTCTTGCGGCTTGTGATCCC